TCCTTTTTTTTTTTTTTTTTTTTTTTAAAGTTTTGTTGATTTGTTGGTTGTAGGTTAAGTTGAATCAGTCGCTTGTGGATGCTTGGCTGTGCCTAGGTAACTGAATTTAGACGAAAATAAAGGAGCTTTAAATGGTGAGTAAACTTATCCGTAATTCCTTATCCATCGAACAGCCCCTAAGTAGAGCTGTCAAAATGGGCCGGTCCAGTCCAGCCCAACACAAGCCTCTTGGGCTTTTAAATTTGGTGGGCTAGGCCGGCACGGTCCGCCATATGAATGGACCTTAAAATGGCCAGTCCAACCCAGCCCTAAGAGGGTCGCGGGCTAGGGCGGGCTGACCCTTCATTTTTAAAAAAAATGAATTTCTTTAAATCCTTAAATATTTTTTCGTGACATAATCGATTAATCATGTAAACAACTTCTGTTTGCGTACAAAAAGCTTGATATTTGACGAGGAATCTCGTAATTGAAATGCAAATTCTCTATATCTCTAGCTAAGGGTGGCATGTGGGCCGGTTAGGACCGGGACCGGTACAGAACCGCAAGCCCACATGGGCGGTGGGCCTAAACGGTCCTAACCGGATAGGACCGGGACCGTGGGATGGTGGACCGGGTAGTGGGCCGGTCTCATAGGCGAGGCCCGCTAGACCGGGACCGTTTGGGACCGGGACCGACTGAGAAGTGGGCCGGTTCAAGCGGTCCTAAACGGGCCCAACGGATAATTTTTTTATAAAAAAAAATTTGACCGTTTGGCCATTTAAAAACTAGCCGTTTGGTCTGCCAAAATAACCGTTGGCTATTTGCAAAATAGCCATTTAACCCCCCAAATTTTGTTTTAACCCCAAACTTTTTATAATTACACTTTTTCCCTATTTTCAACTATAAATACCCCCTCATTCTTTCATTTTTCTCACAAAATCATCAATCTCTCTCAATCTCTCTCTAATATTCTTCTATAATTGCTTACTTAATTGTTACAATTTGTGCAAAATTGTGAAGTTGGTGAATTGAAGTCTTCAAGTCTTCAACGATAATTAATTTTCAACAAGTTGTTCGTCAATTCGGTAAACTCGTTCCAACTCTTAAGTTTTAATATTATAGTTTTGTTTGTTTTATTTACTTTGCTTGATTAATTAAGATGGCTTATTCCTTAAAAATAATGTTTAATAAAAATAAGGAAAAATCCAAGAGTGGTGAATCTAGTGGTCAATCTGTTCTTCCTCCACTTTTCCCGGCTCCCCGGCCCAAACATGTTACCCGTCCTACACCTCCTATTCTTGATAGCGATAATAGTTTATTATAATTTACCGAGAGTCAATTTTGCCATAATATTGCACCCGGTGAACAATTAAACCATGAATATATGAATACTCTTTATGGTAATCCAACTATTGATGAAAATGATAATGAAGAAATAGATTTTGATGAAACACAATCGGATGACGATACACCCACTAGTCCTGCTCCTGAAGTTAACCCAATTAATAATAATCCAAATGATCTCCCGTCTGACCCTCCTGTTACTACCCCTACTTTTTCTAGACAACCTTCTAAACGGGCAGAAACATATCTTGTTTGGCCATTTTTTACTCAACTAAGAGAAAAAAATAGGGCTAAATATAAAACTTGTGGCAAAGAGTTAGTTTTTAAATATGTTGGAAGTTCGGGAGGGGAGGGAGAGGGGGGGAGGGGGGAAGTTTGACTAGACACATATTGCTACACCCTCAAGATAAAGCTAGATATTTTCGTATGAAAGCTTTGGCCGAGGGGACAAGTGCACCTAGTCAGGCTGACCTTAATACCGGGTCAAATCAATTTCAACCGGGAATTAATACTGTTACCGGTGGTATTTTATCTTATGATCCAAAAAAAAATCGGGAAGAATTGGCAAAAATGGTTACTGTTATGTGCTTACCCTA